AACCTACACATCTTTCTTCGATAGTGAATGAATGTGACTTTTCCCCGGCGCCGGGAAACAGCTTTCTCGGCAGCGGGGCACAGGTTTCCCCGGCGCCGGGAAAACCTACAGACATTTTTTGCTGGTGGAACGAAAGTTACTCGTACTAAAATTTGTCTTTAAGATCAAGCAAACTTGCCGGCCGGCGTCGGGCTGACTTTTCCACGGCGCCGGAGAAAGCTCAGGACACATGAGCGCTGAAAAACCAAGTCTTCGAGCTTTTTTTTCGAAAACGTAGGGCCAACTGTCTTAGCCCATCAGCACCGACCGCTATCAACGCCTTCGTGCGCGTGGCTTTTGAGGTTTATTTATACGTGTTGCCCATTGCCTCCTGTCTTGAGCAGCTTGACGGACCTTCCTATGCATAATGGTATTATCCATCCAAACTATTCCTTGAGAACCATGTGGGATCCTGACCTGATCTAGAGAAGGGATCTGATAAAAGGAGTGATGAATATCTCCATGGGCTGGAGCTGCATCAGATTGGAGGTGTTCTAATCTGGATGTGGCCTCTGTGAGGCTGGATTCAGCCCAATGAATCTTCGGTCTATTTGATAATATAAGAATCATCCACATCAAATCAAACCAACCGGCGCCCGGCTAACCTTTCCCCGACGCCGGGAAACAGCTTGCCCGGCGCCGGGACACAGCTTTCCACGGCGCCGGGAAACAGCTTTCCCAGCGCCGGGACACAGCTCCCCCGGCGCCGGGAAAACCTAACCATTTTTTTTCGACACTGAATGACTGTGAGCTTTCCCCGGCGTCGGGACACAGCTTTCACCGGCGCCGGGAAACAGCTTTCCCGGTGCCGGGACACAGCTTCCCCCGGCGCCGGGAAAACCTACGCTTTTTGCGCCGGGAAACAGTTTCCCAGCGCCCGGACACAGGACACAGCTTCCCCCGGCGCCGGGAAAACCTACACATTTTTCTTCGAGAGTGCGCGAATGTGACTTTGCCCCGGCGCCGGGAAACAGCTTTCCCAGCGCCGGGACACAGCTTCCCCCGGCGCCGACAAAATGACATTCTCTCGGAACCTTTCCAGAACCTCGCTCCAGAACTTTCCGGCGCCGGGCACATCCCCTGGCGCCGGGAAAACCTACACATTTTTCTTCGAGAGTGCGCGAATGTGACTTTGCCCCGGCGCCGGAAAACAGCTTTCCCGGCGCCGGGACACAGCTTCCCCCGGCGCCGGGAGAACCTACACATTTTTCTTCGATAGTAATGAATGTGACCTTTCCCCGGCGCCGGGAAACAGCTTTCCCGGTGCCGGGACACAGCTTTCCACGGCGCCGGGAAACAGCTTTCCCGGCGCCGGGGCGCAGCTTCCCCCAGCGCTGGGAAAACCTAACATTTTTCTTCGACACTGCATGAATGTGAGCTTTCCTCGGCACCGGGACACAGCTTTCCCGGCGCCGGGACACAGCTTCCCCCGGCGCCGGGAAAACCTAAACATTTTTCTTCCATATTAAATGAATGTGATTTTTCACCGGCGCCGGGAAACAGCTTTCCCGGCGCCGAGACACAGCTTCGAGCAGCTTCCCCCGGCGCCGGGAGAACCTATATATTTTTCTTCGAGTCTTCGACAGTGAATGAATGTGACTTTTTCCCGGCGCTGGGAAACAGCTTTCTCGGCGCCAGGGCACAGCTTGTCCCGGTGCCGGGAAAACCTCTCCGGCACCTCGCCCGGGAACCTCACTCCAAAACCTTTTCCGAACCTATTGGAACCTCGCTCCGGAATTTTTCCGGAACCTCGCTCCAGAACCTCTCCGGAACCTCTCCGGAGCCTCTGCGGAGCCTCTGCGCAATTTCGACCACTTCTGATCCGGAACCATTCCGGAAACTGTCTGGAACCTCGCTCCGAAACCTCTCCGGAACCTTTTCCAAGGGCCGCTTTGGAACCTCGCTCCGGAACCTCTCCAGAACATTGGTTCGGAACCTCTCCGGAGCCTCTCCGGAAATTTGCTCCGGAACTGCTCCGAAACCCGGAACATCGCTCCAGAACCTCTCTTGGAACCTCGCTCGGCTCCGGAACCTCTCCGAAACCTCTCCGGAACCTCTCCGGCGGAACCTCGCTGCGGAACCTCTCCAGGACCTCGCTCCGGAACCTCGCTCCGGAACCTCTCCAGAACCTCGCTCCGGCTCTCCAGAACCTCGCTCCTCGCTCCGGAACCCTCGCTCCGGAACCTCCGGAACCTCGCTCCGGAACCTTTCCGGAACCTTGCTCTGGAACCTCTCCGGAACCTCACTCCGGAACCTCTCCAGAACCTCGCTCCGGAACCTCTCCGGAACCACGCTCCGGAACCTTTTTTAGGGGCCGCTCCGATTCGCTCCGAAACTTAAGACCCCAAAGCTAAAGCTGTTGGGGAAAAACATCAGAGACCTCTCCTTACGGCTGGCTAGTAGGGAACAAGGGGATATCCCTATGTAATATATTGCCTCACTCCCTACTGATCCCTAGTAAGTCTTTCTTTGATACGCTTCAAGGCATACCGTGAGCGCCTTGAAGGCATGGGCTCGCCCGACTGGCTGTGGGAGGCCACTTTTGCAAGTCAGCTGTCTGATCAGCTTGCTTGTCCGAAGCTAGAAAGCCAAGTATGAGGAGCCAGGGCACGGGTACTAGTCTGAGGTCCTGCACAGTGTTGAAATCCTTCTGCTTTTCTGTTGCCAGGTACAACTTCACGGGCGCTTCCTGAAAAAACCACAGGGGCCGGTATGGCTGAGGCTGGCCACCTACAGATTCTGATATCAGGCATCCCAGAAGTCCTGCTCAGGGCTGAGCTTCGCGACAGCCCAATGCAGCTGGGCCTGGTCTCCCGGGCACTCTGTCAGGCACCAAGGGCCTTTGCAGCCTTTGACTTGCTGTTTGCAAGAATTCATGCCACTCTGTGAACATGAGGCAGTCCTGTGTTAGCAGACCAAGACGCACACATGCAAGCAGCAAGCAACTATCATTCCTTCCGACCTCCAAAACTCAGGTCGTGGAATCCTCAAGTTCGCCCGGATGATGGTGGGATTGCCATGTTTTGATGAGGTCATAGCTCACGTGACATCAAGCTTTCTTTTCTTGAGCGCTGAGGGCAGACTACCATTGTAGGGCAGCGGAATCGCCTGGATGACAAGTGTGCGCTGAAATGTGATGGTGTCCCTTTTGGCTCCGTAGACGTCAAACATGCGGATGCAGCGCACCAACTCCAGCAATAAATCTGCATCAACAAGTCCGTTTCGCAGCTCAAGCACAGAGGCTCAGCGCCGTGGCGGTGACATTTGCTTTGCTTTTGGCGATGAGGTGCCCAGCTCGGCTAGTCGTGCTGCTGTTGTTGCTTTCTGATTTTCTCGCTTGTCTTGCACGCATGCGTATGGGCACGCAACTTTAGATTCCAGAGTCGAAACTAAAGCATGGCGAAATGCTGCACGAGCTGAGCTGACCGT